CTCCTGGTCGTGCCTTCGCTCTCGGGAAATGCCACGGCCATCCCAATCAGGAAATTATGCACCAGAATAGGCAGGGCATGGCACGAGTCCTACGTAAAATTATCATCAGCTCGAATCCAGATGAAGACCACATTATGCACACTTGAATGCCCACCAGGACAAGTTCGAGTACTTTGTGACGAATTCGGACCGGCCGGCATCGCACCTGACTAAGTGATCAAAGCTCTGAAAAGAGACTAGTCTCTCCCGTCCGCTCTGGATTTTCCGCTTTTGGCGAAATTCGTGTCGTGTTTGGCATTACACTTAGGACCACGATTTCTGTCGTTCGTGCAGTTCAACTCATGTTGTGGGAATGAACATATATTTGGTCTGAAACAGTGATCCTTTACTGTGTGCAGTGAATACTAAAGCTATATGGCTTCAGGCCCTCATGCGGCAACAGCGTGCACGATATGATGAAGTGGTTCAGCACTTCTACTATTAACCGCTTTAGCTTGTTAATTTCATGGCTAAGTAGTCTGTTTCGTTCCCGAAGGAGTAAAGATTCCTCTTCAAGACTTTTTACAAATTGATGTGGTAGATACCAGTAGTACTCGGTAAATGTCAGCGTAGTAATTAATGAACACCAGCATTCGATCTACCCTCTTCGCATGGATCGACTGGTCTGTCCAGCTCTGGGCTGTTCAACACCAGAAGTGATGATTTATCAACACGCAAATCGCAGAAAACACATACCTGTTCTGAGCTCATCCTTACACCTGACCCTCCTGTGCTGGATAGAGTATACGGAGGTAGTAAACTTGGTTGATCTCTACCTTGTCCTCCTCAACTCCATAGGATACTTGGTATGCGACAGTGGGAGCATTGATACTGGTACTTTACGGGACCCTCGCAGATAGTTTGATACTGTATAGATGCTGCTGATGCTGCGTCTGATGCACATCAGATGATGCTACAGCATTCAGGACGTATGCGTCTGACGTGCATCAGAGACAGAAGTATCTATACAGAATCAAACAAGTACTAGTACTAGAGCCAGTAGCATAGTGCTACAACAGACCAAGCTCTGTCAGAGTTCGCACAGTCTACAGTCGCTGCGAATCCCATGTGGAGTCACTACTACTACTAGTAGATTAATTATTAGCTAGACGACTTCTTCTCTGAGATAAAATCTTCTGTAATGCCCCGACCTAAACGCAACATTAAAGGCTCATTAAACTCGTCACGGCAGAAACCTGTTGACCTTACATCGTCTGCTAAACGTAATCTCTATAAAACCATTTTGAGAACTTCGGGTCAATGTTGCGCATCCCCCTTCCTTGTTAGACCCATATGAAAAGTTAACTACTAATACTACTACTACAGCAGTAGTAGTAGCTTCCTTCTCTACAAAAGTGAGTATACTCCTACTTTATGCCTAGAGTTCAAGGTAGGGTGTTTAAGGAGTTCGAACGACTGTACCCCAAGCAGTGTGTATTCCACGGGTTCTTTCATCACCCACAAATGGCAAAAAAACTTGTCACAGAACAGCTCAACCTACTGGTCTGTGACAAGGAAAACTCGCTCCTTGCGGAGTTGGTTTTTCTCGGCCGGTTATACTACGAATTTTATACTACGAGGTTGACATCGTCGTCGAGTCGAGGGGTCCGGGGATCTGATCCTATTGCCTCCAACCGATGTTAGATTGACCTGATAGGAAGCCGAAGGGAGGGAGGGGATTCGAAATCGAGGTCCTGATGCCCACTAACCCGGAGTTAGTTTTGACCTGACAGGACCTAGAAATATAAGTATTCTGTCGTAACCGTGACTCGAACTCGCGGTATTCGGATTCGCCCTTGTTGTGGGGTAAGGGGTTCTTTGCGTGATCTGTCAGAATTTAGAAAGACAAGACATATATACAAGTAATTTTCGATTCCTTTTGTACCGGTACTGATAGTACTTAGTACTTCTAGTAGTACTATCTCTATCGTACCTTGGCAGAGTGGTAGTAGGTCTAGTGAAATTAGACTAAGAGTGCCAAGGCGCTCGCTATATCCTCAAGCAACAGTATGTCAGTATGGCACTACAACGTCGTATCAGCCAGATGGAGTGACAGACCACCACTGGCCGTTCATTGTTTGCTCACGGCCCGCTCCACGACGTCCAGGCCGGCCAATTTTTTGAGTAACCCCTCTGGCAATGCAAACGGCCGAATGCTCGACAACCAGGCAACCCAGGCCTTTGTTCCTCTCCAGATGTTGGCCGGAGGGTTATCATTCTTCAGTAGGTCTCTCGCGACCTGGTTCGCCCACTGCTCCGCCGTCACTTCCACGGGGAACGTCTCTCCACGCATGACCTTCTCGACCGTGTCCCTCGCCACCGCGTAGAGCGAACCGGCGGGCAGCTTTGCACCCATGTTGTTGCTGAAGTTGTTGGACGAGGCACTGGACGATTTCAGGTCGACCACTCTGATGCCAAAGGGGGCCAGCTCCAGTCTCATACAGTCCGAAAACATGATCATGGCTGCCTTGGAGGCGTTGTATGCCGACTGGAAGGCGATGGGCGCCAGACCCGCTGACGAGGTCTGATTGACCACAATGCCCTTTTTGGACTCGAGCAGCCGTGGCAGAAAGGCCTGCGTCATGGCGAGGTAGGACCAGGTGTTTAGATCGAAGAGCTCCTTGGCCTGAGCGATCGACATGTCTGAGATCGGCATGCTGTAGAGGGCGCCTGCATTGTTGACCAATATGTCCAGGTGGGTGACTTTGGCTACCGCGGCCGAAATCGACTCTGCAGAAAGGACATCCAATGTCAAGGTCTCGATCCCGTGAGCTTGTACCTGAGCGAGTTTGGAAGGGTTGCGTGCCGTGGCGTACACATGGAGGCCAGCCTCGTGGAGAGCAATCGCAAGTGCAGAACCCAACCCGCCGTCCGAACAGCCTGTGATTAGGACCGTCCGTTTCTTTCGGGCCACGGAAGAAATCTTGTCGTCGTTTGCCATGCCACCCGCACAGAAAGACTGTCAACAGGACCTCGTACCTAAGTAGCTAGCGGTTGAACGGGACCTAGTTGGTTTTGGCCAGAACCTAGAATTTTCGAGCTAGACGGGCAATGACCACGAAAACCACGGCAAAGTCAACTGTTATATGTTGGAGAGCAGAGATATACTACTACTTAGTAATCCCCCAGTTCGACATCTATCACCGGTGAAGTAGCCCTTGCCACCTGGTAGTACTCTCTTGGTGGGTCGCGCGCGGAGCCTCGTTACGTGATCGGGACGATATTTCATCCGCTGAACGGGCTTGTCATGAACTCCGTCGCACCACAAATCACATAACCATAACCATTCTCTTCCCAACTTGACGACACTGTTTCACCCATCCATAAAACATCCCCCGGAGAATGGCCATGGAAGAAGATGCAGACTTGGTATTACGTGTGAGTCTCGCCCGTCCGAGCAGTAAATTTTCTTCGTCCGTCCGTCCGTCTGTACGGCCTTGCCCTGATCTGATTTTCCCCGTTGATGCAGCAGCGGCGTCGCGACAAGGGCAAAGTCGCGCAGCGCAATTTCAGGAAAAGACAGGCCGAAAAGGCTTTGGAGTTGAAGCAGAATCACAAACAACTCAGACATCTGGTGGAGACTGTTGTGCTCGCCCACCGCGACGGTGACACGGCGACATTGAGCCAGGCTATCGCCCAGGCTGGCAGGGCAATTGGGGTTGGCCTGGACGGAGACAGGATGGACCGAGTGGACGAACGTGCTCAATCTGACCCGTCTCACACTTCGATGGAGGGGGTCGTTACTGGTATCTCCAACATCATCAGGCCCGTATGTGCAGCCACTACAGAATATTCGGTGGAACCCACCGTCACCGACCGAGACACAGGTCAGTCACTACTACAACTCTCCCAGCCGCGCTCGGGACGATTCAGCCCACGGCTCGACTACGGCATCTGGCTCGACCCCGAGCGGTTTCTCAAGATCGTCGACCCCCCGCTCGACATCCGGCCATACATTGGGGCTAGGAAGCACACAGTGGCCGGGCGGATTGCCTGGGCGGCTCTGGACTACGGGTACGCCTGTCTCCAAGAGGCCATGATGACAAGTCAACCCGCCACCACCTTCACCGCCAGCACGGCCACAGGGGCCCGCAAGAGCAAGGCCGACTGGCTCACCCTGCTGCCGCCCGAGTCAGCGGGCCGGCGAGCGTTCGACCGCTCGCTGCGGCACTCGACGCCCCTGCACGACGTGGCCTACATGATGGACCTGGTGGCGGCGCGGATCGAGTTCCGCCAGCAGGGGTACATGCGGGCAAACACACGCGGGGCCGACGAGATCGCGCGCCAGGCCATGGCCGGGAGTGTCGCGGCCGAGTTGCGCGTCAGGGGAGTGCGGATGGACCAGTGGTGGTCGGCGCTGGATATCGAAGCCCATGTCCAGACCGAGATGGGCGTTTGGGACTTTGCGGCCTGGCAGATGGCCCTGTGCGGCGGCAACCAGGAAACCAACAACAGCCACGCTGAGCTGATCATGCCCCTGGTCGAGAGTCTGGGTCACAGTGGCGTCTGCTTTGGCGATGGTCCCCGGTGGCACGTCCCGCGTGTCAAGGCCCTTGTCAGGGCATGGTGGAGCCAGGTCTCGAGATTGGAATTGCCGTAAGAGATATGTAGATGGTGTATTATCCGTTTTATGTGGATAACCCCCTGAGTTCGCGCCAAGGTTTTCCCAATACAACAGATTTCTACACTCTATACTACTACTATTCTTACATTCGCATTGTCTACTATCTTCTGGACGTCAAGGAGGCTCGCCTTCTTGGTCGGTTACGTCGTCACCAGCCAGCAGTGTCCATCCATCGGCTTCGAACCACATGGTAATAAAGTTCTCGTCATCCGAGAGAGGAATAATGACGAGTGATTGGACACCGAGGTATCACTTGCGCCCGATTGATTGGTCTTTCTTTTCTTTCTCTGGGAAATGCTTCATAAAGCCGTCCCGAGCCCCAGCATGGGCACGCACGCTAGACGGCGTCCGACTGTGAACCCGGGACATCTCCTCTGGTCCGGTCGATCAGATGCGTAAGCACGATCACGCCCTCTCGGACCACTGCCCACCGGACTGTTGCGAGAGTCTTCACGATGCAATTGAGCAGGCCATGTGGCCGATACGTCCTGGCTGCGGACCAGATGTCCTTGGCGAAGGTCTGTCGCACGGGGTCGAGCCTCGTCAGAGCACTGACCAGAGCGTTCATGTCTGTTCGTGAATCCCAGTCGTCGTCGTCGTCGTCGTCGTCTTCGCCCGCTTCCGCATCATCGGCCGCGGGTTGGTCGTAAAGGGGCTTTCGCGGCTCGTCCGCGTCATGTCCAACGGTAATGCTGTATGTCGTCCAACAGGTCAAGGTCGCTAGGTACAGACACCAGGGGAAGAGGATCATGTCGTCAACATCCCAGTTGTCCAGCTTGCGGATGCCGTCGCGGATGAGTCGCGCGGCGTGCCATGTCGCTTGGCCCATCCCCTTCCCATCATCCCTCGACATGTATTCGTTCAGTCTCACGCGCGATCGTTGGCGATCCAGGTCCGTGACGGGTCGGCCGGTGATGTGTTTTGCCCCGGCATGAATCTGTAGATCCGCAGTTTCGACCTCCAGGACCAGCTGTGCCGTATGGTAGACGGCCGAGTTGGCGACGGCATAGCGTTGAAATTTGCCATGTTCGGCTGTACCGGTGGACAAGGTTGACAGGACGTCGCGCGTGTACCGATCAAAGTCCTCCTTCCACTTCGCATAGCAGGCGCTGATCTTGGATTGCCACCTGACCTGCGTTGAAGTAGCGTTCTTGTTCAAAGCCGTCTGATCACGACGCCGGAAATCCCACGAGAGAGACATGAGTCCATGGAAAACCAGAACCCGGGACAGGGCGTTCAGATGTATGGGCGCGGACGACACACTCGGGTCTGTGTACATTTGCAACACGGTGAGGTACGGTAGGGGTGCGGGAGAGTTTTGACTTAGATGGAGCCATTCCTCGGCCGTGTCGGCTTCCCAGATAGCAGTATCCCAGGGGAGGGTCACTTTGAGTTCCGACGCATTCAACTGTTGTTTTGAGGGGCGCATCAGCATTTATGTCTGATGCATGGGTTCAAAGGCCCCCCCAGCGATAAGCGGGCAAAGGGTCCCGGCACTTACACAGAGGATCTGGGCAAAGAAGATGGCATGCTGTGTGTCCCACATGAAGGAAATCAATGCAAGTCTGTAGGAAGAAGTGAGCTTGGAACAACACTTTGATGCAGCTCTCCATACCTTCGCTTTTCTTCCGCCTCAATTGCCATGTGCCAGTAGTCTTCCAACGTCTGAGTTGCTTCATCCCAAGGTGGAAGATATGCGTTGTGGCAATCGCTCCTTCGGAGGAGGCTAGCAGAGTTAGTCCAAGGGAATATATAGACGCAGTGTCTTGCCTTACTTGATCTGAAGTCCGTGGTAGAGGTTGGACATGTCGTGCTGGCGCTCGCCAGCACGACTCTTGCCAAAACACTCGACCAACAAAATCGTCTGTAACATCCAGAGTTTGGGTCTCGGCCCAAAGTCTTTGCTGCTGTGAATCAGCGGTCTCATGATGTTGTGCACACATACGGCCAGCAGATGCGTCCTCTTGTCGCAATACGTGGCCCCCAGAAGGACAATGGACATGAGTTGTAATGGGTGTGCCTTCGAGCTCTGAAAGGTTGCCGCATGAATCAAGGGATACGTGGAGTTGAACCGTGTAAAGAACAAATCACTGTAATGCTGCAAACATTGCAGAGACAGCAGCGGGTCACACGGGCTGATCTCTGACTTGTCTGGCAAGGTTGGCCGAGCCTGAGCGATCAATTGCAGCAGCCCGTCGCGGGCCTCATTCGTGATCACGGGTAGCTTCGTCGGACGTCGTCGGATATACGTGTCTGGCAGGGTGCGGCTGGGAGAATCCTCAAAGTTAGATGGTGTCCGCGTGGAGCTTCTCGTCTGTCGGCTTGAGGGGAAATATAGATCAGGACTGTCAAGCCCGATCATGCCGAGTTCGTTCGCACCGCCTTGGTTCGTCGGGGCGGAGGGATAGCTAGGTAGACCTTGTGGTGAGAGACGTGGTTGCGTATTTGTAGAAGGATATCCGACAGTCTGGCGTACATGGGTGTTCAGGGAGGGGAACCTGGTGTCTTCGTTCCGGAACTGAACAGGAGGAGGTGGAGGCGGGGGAAGGTTCGGCTCAAGGCGATCTGGTACCGAATGATGCTGCATCTGGTGATCTGTGAGCCCGATGCCAGTTGTCATGTCTGGCAATGGCTCGGACTGAGGGTCAGTCGTGTTGGGAAAGTCATTCCCGAAAAGCCAACTGTAGTACTGCAATGTCGGCAGTGATGTGCTGAAGGAGATTGCTGCGACTGTTAGTATCTACCTAGCCAACGCATTGCCTTCTACATACTGGTATCAGGAAAAGAAACATCGTTGTAAGGGAGACCACAAGGGCCCTCTGCCGTGGTCTGGTACGACTGGTCGGACCACCACGAGTCGGACAGAAAGTCAAGGTCACCGGCCCCTGGAGTTGGAAACATCATGTTCAAATCAATCGATTGCCACGGGCCTTGGAGATAAGTGCCGCCTGTAACCTGCTCATGACTCATCTGGTCTAGTCCAGTGCTCGGATCTGAGATAGGCGGAGATGGCAGAGCATTGTGAGCATCCTCAGCCGTTGCCTGAGTCTGTCTATCGTATCTGGCATCGAGCCTTGGAGAGGTGGTGACGATCTTCTGGGGCCGACTGGCGTTGACTATCCTCCCAGCACTGTCCCTCCACAGTCGCTTCTTCGTAGCCAGGTTGCCGAGTCCCTCTCCCCCTGCTTCGGCGTCCTTTTGGCGGTGACGTTGCACATGGCGCTCTCCACGGTAGAGTTAGAGAACGGAGCATCCCATGGCGCGCGCGCGCGGGAGAGCCAGAGTCTACTTACCCAATAGATCACGCCGCCTGAAGTGGGCAGCACAGCGACGGCAAGTGAGGTCGCCGTCTTTGTGGTTGGATTCATGCCGGTGCAGGTGCTCGCGCCTCACAAATGATTTCCCGCAGTTCTGTTGGGCGCACACGAATTTCTTCCTCGCGTGTCTGGAATCTGGGGTCGTCTGAACAGTATCGGCCGAGGACGAGGACGCCATCCCGCCTTCTGACTCGCCAGCTTGCCTGACCTTGTCACAGGCAGGAGTAGGAGGTAATGAACATGGGTGATTTACCTGGGATATTAATTGTCGAAGGTGGGTGTCGGATTTCGCTCCCAGTGCCCCAGTTTATTTACTTTGTGGATGTCGTGATTGAGGCGTTGGTTTAGCTCATCACCATCGCATCGCAGTCACTAGCCACTCGACAGATGCTCTGCGGGCTATTGGTGGGGTAGAACTATTGAATTACCACCGTTGACCCTCTTACAATGGATGGTCTAACGGGATTCCCACGTGTAAACCAAAGACTTCAAGGCAATCTAGTATAGCCTGGTATGTCAGGGGTTGGTCAGAGCCCTACTCTCGTCTAGGTCTTGTACAGCGCTTCATGAGGAATGGAAGCATTGTAATATTGTTCCTCAATCGTCTTTCTTTCTGCTTCTGTGCACAACCCTAACCCTACTCCTTTGCATATTACGACGACAATGGCGATCGAGTCGTAGATCCAACCCTCTCCAGCTTCCTTTTAGGTGATGTATCTGAAACGAGGGTTGTTATCTCCCAGCTCCTCAATCTCGTCGTCTGACAGCCCGGCGACTTTATGGTCCTGCTTGCCTGCTGCCCTGCTCTTGTTGACCGCAGAGTAGTAACCCCACATGAAAGCAAAGCTGAGCGTCCCGAACGCGACCATGGCCAGGGTGACGGCATGTCCCACGATGTAACGGGGGGCATCGGTCGCCGGATATAGCTGTTATTGATCGATTAGTTCTTCCCACTTCTAATGTGATCGTCAACAGTCTCAAGGGAGGTCACTCACAAAGCTGGACGGAATGCCCGCACTGTTACCAATCATGGCTTGAAGGGCGATGGTTGTCGTACGTTTTCCATAACGTGGAGTGTGCGAAGGCAGCCAAGCGAGTGGGAGGCCGATGACACAATACATTCCACAAGCGACCAGGAAGCATCCCGCGTAGTGAACGGCGCTCCCGCCATCCGAGATGAGCATACAGTAACCAGTGATGGAGATAGTACCAAAGATGACGCAGTAAAGTCCACGCCGCTGTTGTCGGTCGGAAACGATGGCCACGCTCAGGTATGTGATGGCTCCAAGGGAATAAACCGGAATGGTGAGAGCCTGGACAACGGCGCTCGTGGCCTTGGGCATAATACCCCTGATAATGGTTGGCAGGAATGTGCTGAAGCCGTAGAGGGCGACATCGACACCAAATTGCGCCAAAGAAAAGACCCAGACCTTCCAGTCCAGGAGACCTTCTCTGACATCTTTCCAGTGCAATTCTTTGGCCGATTTGGTCATTCCGGGCTGGCGGTTAAGACGTGCCACCACCAAAGCTCTCTCTTCGGCGGTCAGATATTTGGCTGTGGAAGGCTCGTCGGCAATCAAGGCCCAGAAAGCGATTGCCAACAAAACGGTTGGCGCCCCTTCGAGCCACAAAATCCACCGCCAACCTCGGTGTCCACCGACACCTGATATCCTTTTAGCAAGTGGTCCATGAGAAAGACAAAATCAGCAAAACCTACCGTCCAGGAAGCTAATTGCATACGCCAAAAGCCCTCCACATGCCCCAGCCAGAGCGGCACATGTGAAGAGGTAGCCAATCCGCAAGGCCAGTTCCTTTTTGGTATAGAAGAAGGTGAGGTAAACGACCACCCCCGGGAACATGCCACCTTCAAAGGCACCCAACAGCAAGCGACACACGAGCATGCCTCCAAAGTTCTGCACAAACCCGCTAAACGTAGCCACTAGACCCCAGGAGAGGGCTATGAAGGAGATCCATCTTGATGGACCAATTTTCTTGACGACGAGGTTGGATGGAAGCTCCAAGGTAATGTAGGTGACGAAGAGTACCGAGACAAGGATCTGGAATTGATTTCCATGTAGACCTAGGTCGGCTTCCAGCCCGTACAGCCTCGTGACTGTCAGCGATGGCTTCTGGGGGCGGGAACGATGAATACCAACCGTGCATTGCCGATATTCACGCTGTGAGGTGTTAGTAATAGAACCGACTGGACGAGACTTATGCAGGGGGTGTGGACTGCTGACCGATCAAGGAAACTGAGAATATATAATAGCATGATCAACCTGGACCACCATCAGCCATTGTCTTTGCTGCCCTGAATTAGGGGTCCGTACGGCATGATATGAAGCTGTAGCCATGTCAATATAGATCTTTCAAGGGGGACAATGGAGCAAGGCACGTACATCCAACTTCCGCACCAGTCTTTGCTCGGCAGCGTAGTCGATCTGGATACTGCCATCCTCGCTGGAGAAGTGGCCTTCGGAGGAGGTGAAAGGTACTGAGTGACCTTTCTCCATATTGGAACCTTGGGGGAAATTGGTTTGAGGCAGGCAAAAAGGTATTGTTTGAGATGCTCCTCTTTGAGCACAGTAAATGACAATGTGAAGCCGCGAATCGAGACGCTACGTTGAGATGTTGTTCGTGTTTTGGATCAAAACTGACACCGGTGGATATATATCTGCAGAGGCGCCCCCTTCATTCCATCCATCCACGTATTGTGCAATCTCATGAAATTGTTGTTCCATCATGTCTCCTGCATTTCGCATACGAGCCAGGACCGGGCTGCTCGAACGTCGAAGAAATGGGAAGCCGCCAAAATCCCACTCTTGACCTTCTGCCGGAGATGGGCAAAATGGGATGCGTCGATCCAGCCCTCGCCGCGAATATAGTGCCGAGAGCTATTGCGTGATACTCCTTTTAGTTATCAGTTGATTTGGAGAGGCATCTCGACTGGACCAGCCGCTATGTCTCGAACATGGCATCCGATGGTGCCCACTTTTGAAAAGTTAAATCCCAATGTCGCAATCAACACCCACGATACGACATTCGTCACGTGTCTGATACCTCCAAAGTGTCACAACAGGCAGGCACGGACGCTCAATACTCTACAGGAGGCTAGCGGCGTGAGATACTCTGCGCTAACGAGGGCATTCTACCGTCATTCTGGGAGTAAAAGCTACATGGCAATTACCCACTGCTGCTCGATAGACAAAGGTGGAATGGAATGATAAAGATTTACCACCCGAGTTTTCATTCCTCATAACATATCTGGTACATTCGGCATATTTAGTCTCATCGCTCGGGCAAACAAGTCTCCTTCGCTGTAATCACGACATCAAATTTCCTCGGCTTGACGAACCATGCCGTGTGCAAATCCCACTCCTCATCATCAGTTGGCTGAATCTAAATCAGGGACAAGCCATGTTAGCATAATATCTCAGTAATTGTCCCAAAGAGGCACTGCTCACCTCAAATCGCCGCAAAAAGCTGGGAACCAGCTTGTAAATTTCCAGAAGCGCAATATGCTTGCCGAGACAGGTCCGCGTTCCGCCACCAAATTGGAACATGGCACTGTTCATTCTTTTCAGCCGTTGTTCCTCTGAGTCGGCAGCTGCGGTGGGATTGATCAGCCATCGCTCGGGTCTCCAGATGTCGACGTCGTGGCCAAAAAAGTCCGGTTGACGTTGCAAGACCCATGGGTTGCAGCCAACGATAGTCCCTCCAGGAATGAACTCGCCACAAATCTCCATGCCCTGCGGCGGCACGACTCGCTCCAAGATCATACCGATGGCTGGATGCATGCGAAATGTTTCTTGGATGCAGGCGTGGAGATATGGCAATTTCTGGGCGTCGCTCCACGTGATGATGCCTTCGGTGTCTGAAATCAACCCCGTTTTGATGGCATCTTCAATCTCCTCATCGAGCTTTTGGTAGCACTTGGGATATCTGGCGAGGAAGTAAAAGATCGCGGCGAGGGTGATTGCGGTGGTGTCAGACCCAGCAAGGGCAATCGAGGTCGTCATGGTGAGGAGGCGTCCGTCGTCGAAGAAGTCGGCATGTTCTTTCTGAGCCTGGAGAAACATGGTCAAGAGGTCCATGCTGTCATTTTGATATGCCCCCGACAACCGCTCGGCCATCCTCGCCCGGGAGAATTTCGCCGTTCCAGATGAGTTGTCGGTGAACCCATGTTTACTCTGTAAAGGGGTGTCAATACTGGGTCTCCAAACGGCTGCCGAATCCAATATCGTCAGAGATTTTGGGAACTTCGACTCACCAGTAGTGCTCGGACCGGATTTTTGACAAACAACTTATCGAGCCAAGGCATCTGGCCCACAGGGGCCTGGTAGTCAAAGATCTTGTCCAGCCAGGCAATGATGCCGTCGACGTCTTCGCACCTGTCCACGAATCCGGCTCTTCGACTGTACGTGATCTCGGTGATGACATCAAAGGCGAAATATTGGAGCCAGTGGAGGAAATCACACTGTACTCCAGGCTTCGCGTAGAGTTCTTGGGTCCGTTCAAGGAAAACTCTTACGGTATCGTTGACTCGGGGTTCATATTGGACGATCGAGGTCATGGAGAAGGCATTGCTGACCGTCCGTCGAAGTCGGGCATGGTAATCTTGATCTTGAGTTCCAAACAATGACTGGAGCACCTCCCCTCTCGCCAACTGCATCTGCACTGGGTAGAATGCACTCTGCTCGCCCGTCAACATGCATGGCTCGTATTGTTGACAAGTATTTCCCTACCTTCATCAACCGATTGTTCAACCCGTAGATCGACTTGAGAGCCTCCGGGCTGCTGAAAGATAGCGAATTGGGACCGAGTCGAACAATGTGTCCATGTTGATCATGTAGCGTCCGCAGTGTGAGTTGCGACTTGCCGCGGAGAACGCTGAAGAATCTCCATGCGTCGGTGAAGTTGGCGAGGAAAGGACCTGGATATTTACAAAGACCTTTGTTGCGGTAGTTTCTTAGCAGTGTCGCAATCACGATCACGACCAGGACCACAACTGCAGTTTTGGCTGTGAGATGGGGGCGCAAGGAGTCCATCATGCTTCACCGACGCGCATGGCTTGGGAGTCGAAAGACACCTTGAAATGAATGAGTCTTGGTGATCCAATGTGACACCGACACTCCAGAGTAAATCATCCATGAGTATGTCCTCCGAGAATGTAGTTGTGTGATCGAGGATGGCGGTGGATCCCGAGACGGTAGCTAGTCTATCAGAAGGTGGGATCTGGCGGGTATACGAGATTCGCCAAGAGTGGGATGAGGCTCAAAGGTGGGATGTCGGCAAGGCATTCAAGGCGACATGCAAAGATGGGATGTCCATAGCCATAGTGACCTCTCAACTGCAAGGTTGGGATACCCTCAAGGTGGATCGTGGGAGGAGCATCTTGAGAGCTCACGTGAGGCGAGATCCATCGAGAGATCTGAGGCCAGCAAGATCGTCCTCGAGGTGCATTCAATCGACCATAATAATATGGGGGAGAAAGTCACCAAGATATGCTACTCGTGATAGACACGGGCCCCTTTCTCCTCTGAAGTGGCACATCAACGAGCTCCTCATCATGGTCCGAAAGTGCTCACGCGTAGCCGTCATTGGCGCTGGGCCAGCCGGTGCAATCGCCACAGATGCTCTGGTCAAGGAGCAGACGTTCGACACAATTCGCGTGTTTGAGCGAAACGCGATCGCTGGGGGCACTTGGTAGGTTTCCCCCTCCGCTTCCTCTACCTGATTTTACATTGATCAAGACGTATGTCAGGGTGTACACGGCAGACCATTCGCCCACGATACCCTCTCTTCGCAAACTTCTGAGGCACCAGGCCGATCTGCCCGTACTCACTCCTGCTGGATTTCCATCCGAAACTGAAAAGACTGAAGCAATCAACTCGCCCCAACTGCGGTATTCTGATACAGGCATCCATGAAAATCTGCACAGCAATCTCCCACCTCAGACAATGTGCTTTACGCAGGAGCCGATCCCAGAAATTCTCTCGGAGCGGACGCTGGCGCAATATGGCAGCAATGCTCCGTTCCGTCACCGAGAAGTCATTCGCGGTTGGGTAGAAGATATTTTCGTCCGCGGTGGAACGCAACATCTCATCGAGTTCAATACGACCGTTGAACGGGCGCAAAAGGAGGGAGACGAGTGGGTGTTGACTTTGCGGCGTGCACCGCCAGGATCGAAGATGAACTATTGGTGGCAAGAGGTGTTCGACGCCCTGGTCGTTGCGACAGGTCACTTTTCGCTACCCTATGTGCCTGATATTGCTGGATTGGCAGATTATGACGAGCGATACCCGGGGAGAATCCAACACAGCAAGCACTTCCGGTCTGTGGAGCAGTTCAGGGGAAAGGTAAGATGTTCATCTACACTTCCTGGTGCTCGAACGGTTGCATGTTCACCTTGACGCATACAAACTATGAGGCGCAGCTAACTAACGTGTTCATTCGGCAGAAAGTCATCATCGTAGGCGGCTCGGTCTCAGCATTTGATGCGCTCCATGAGATTCGAGTAGTGGCACAACATCCCGTCATCACCTCGCTCAAGAAGCCGCTACCGGCGTTCGGATGGGGTGCGTTCAAACACCCCCACGTTTCCATCAAGCCGCCAATTGCCAAATTTCATCCAGACGGGAGGATCGATTTTGAAGATGGTTCATATGTCGACCACGTCGACGTGGTGCTTTTCGCCACGGGCTATGACTTCAGTTTCCCATTTCTGCCATATATCAGTCGGAGAATCCAAGGCCGGAGGATCCAGAAACTTTATCAACATGTATTTGACATGGAGGATCCCACTCTGGCATTTATTGGAATGGTAAGCTTCACGGTTGCTCCCAATCCCATTTCATGCCAGTAATGTGATGATGATGATGATGACGACGGACTAATCTGTACATCGGATCAGGTCTCGGGAGGTCTGACCTTCAGGGTATACGAATGGCAGGCCGTCGCCGTAGCTCGTCTGTTGGCAGCACGTGCCAGACTACCGAGACGACGCCTGATGCGAAAATGGGAGCATGACCGGCTCGCCAAGTGTGGAGATGGAATCCCATTTTTTGACCTGTCCTCCGACTTTGAAGAGTATTTTGAGGGCCTCAGGGAATTTGCGGGGGAACCTGCAGTTGGTTCCAACGGCAGAAGACTGCCTAGGTATGACCCAAAGTGGAAAGATTTATTCGTCGAGGTGGTGGTGAAGGCGAGACTGCGATGGTGGGAACAGGAGAGGCGCAAGGCTGGCGAAGAGATACGCGAGGCCCAGACACACAGACCAAAGGCGGATGGGGATAGTTCAAGGGATTTAGTCAGAGCATTGCTGTAGAGAGTTTCGACCATGTTGCTCTCGTGAGTATGAACTACCTATGAACTACCGAGAAGTCTTGATCCATAATGTACCTTTATCGTTGCCTTGCTATAGCTGCGACACTTGCCGGAGGCCATAGAGCGCTCTGTCATCACCACATGATCCATGATAACCATATCCTCCATCAGGGTCTACCCAAGAACTGCTTGAAACTCCGGACTGAACTTGTAGTCAGTATATCCTTCTGGGGAGAGGACTTCGTAGAAGGTGTCCCGATTGTATTTGGTGAACGGGATGCCCTCCTTGACTCGGAAGGGCAGATCTGGATTCGATATAAAGTGGCGGCCAAAGGCAACCAAAACGTCTTTGCCTCGATATTTGCCATCCACAACCTGGAGTGAACTTTCGGCCGTGTAGCCGCCGGCAACAATGACCGGACTGGTGTTATTCCACGCGTCGACAAAGACATCGATCGAGTCTCGAAGATCAGCGTCTGCATTTCCTGCGACTCTGGCCTCGATGATATGCAGGTAGGCCAGTTGGAGTTTCTGCAGCTCCTGCAAGAGATATGTAAATTGCGGAATAGGATTATCCATACCCATCCCGTGATGCTTGCACCAGGGGCTTATTCGAAAGCCAACCTTGTCGGCACCAACGGCTTCCGTGACTGCTTTGCTGACCTCAATTGCAAACCGGGCTCTGTTCTCAATGTTGCCTCCCCACCCGTCGGTGCGGTGGTTACACGTGTCCTGGGTGAACTGGTCCACCAAGTAGCCATTCGCACCGTGGATCTCGACACCATCAAACCCGACCGCAATGGCATTGAGAGCTGCTTGACGGAAATCGTTGACACAGGCCCAGATTTCGTCTTCTTCCAGAGGGCGAGGCACCGCGGATTCCGGACTCCATGGAATATCGCTGCTGGAAATCACTTCGGCGCCGGCAGCGACGGCCGCAGGTCTGGCGGCTCGTCCGGTTATCCAGAGCTGTGCGAAAATGTACGAGCCTTTGGCGTGTACAGCTTCGACAATCGTCTGCCATTTACTCATCTGGTTGTCGTTGTAAATCCCCGTCGTATTCTGCCAGACACTTGCGCGATGAGATGTTGCCACCGCCTCCGAAATCAGAAGTGTTCCCGGTACCGACGCTCGTTGGGCGTAGTAGTCAACCATGAGGTCACTCGGTACATAGTCGTCGTGCGCCCTTCGCCGCGTCATTGGTGCCATGGCAATTCGGTGTTGTAGTAGGCAGGACCCTACCTGCACAGGTGTGAACAATCGCGACATGGCTGTTCAGGATGGGCGTTCTCTCCCAAGACTGAGGTTGTGAGTGATGTATTTTTTCCTTTTCCCTGAACAGCCCACCCCAAACATGTCGAGGTGGCAGGTATACAAATGCCGAAGCGTGACATTGCCCGGTTCGCCTCGCAGTCAGGGGCAACATGACATGGATGGGCGGTGTTCTGCATGGCCCATCCTCATGCACGCGGCTCTTGACGCTCGTGGCGAGAGTGGGGGTTCTCGATCCCAGCTCTGTCTCTGTTTGAGACATTTTCCGAGACTACGAGGTACACTGACAGTGTGGCTTCTCTAACAAAAGTGGGAGGCTGCTGGTAGGAAAGTGGGAGGGGTTCCACTATTTATCTCCTCACCATTCCAACGTCGGTACTTGTATAGCTTATTATCACTCGCCTTGACCTGTACTGCCACGAATAGAAAATCTTCATCAGAACGTGGGATCAAATGATCTACAGAGTTTGGTAGGTTGAAGGATTTTAGGCTGTGAAGCCGTGGCGCAATGCGAGCTACTTGGTCATAGAAGATAGAAGTGGGCAGTTACAATATACGACCACTAATATTGTTCGCTTACGACTCTGTATTGTCGCAGATGTAAATTTCGTTCAAGATGATGATCTATGCACTGAACTGTCCCTCACGAAGAGGCGCATATGGGGCCATTTAATGGCAGTCAATCCCAAGTCCCTGCCAGACAATCTGTTCGCACGACTTCAAAAACCGCAAAACCTCACCTCCCTCATGCCAGGCGTCATTGTAGGCAGCACTCAACGTCAGTTGTCCTTTCCAGCTCCCAAGGAATAAGCCTAAGCCTGACCTCAGCTCTTCTCCTGTTACCCATGGGTCATGCAGCTTGAATTCCCCGTGCTCTGGTGCAATGATATCGTCAATGCGTCCCATGCTGGGAATGGACACTGTGGGCGACGGATCGGGCGGTGGCACTTTGAAGACTTCTCTGGAAAGCAGTGCCGACTCTGGCAAACGAGGGACTCCAGACTTCCAGTACGTTGGCACTCGAGAAAGATGTTCTTTGTCGTCGCGGATCGAGAGGTAGAAATCTCTTACCCCTGCGACAACCTCAGTGAATTCGTTCCTTCTCTTGGTGGATGCATGACCACCTTCCTCGCTAGGAGGCATCTCTAGGTCCACTACGAGACTCCTTCCTGAGCTTGAGTGAATCACGGATACCGGATGTGTCGGAGTATTGTAAGGAGCCGTACAATGCTTGCGAAGATTAATGAGACAGTAACTGATGTATCTTACTCGTCTGTTCTCGTGCCTCTTCTCTTGCAAGTCTCGCAGCGCCATAGCAATAGCGGCATGATACGCATGTGTGACGGTTATATTTCTTTCCTTGCAAGCGAGGAGCAGACTCTGCGTATCCTGACGGGAGTATGTTAGGGCCACGCGCTTGTGAACTCCGGGAAGCTCGGCTCCAACTTTGAAAGGGAGGCAAGCAATCTCGACACCATGGCGCAACTGAGCATTCTCTGCCAGAATCTGTTCGAGACACTGTTGCTGTTCTGCCGACAAAGATGGTGGAATCAACGCCGCCACACGTAAGGGTGGGGTGAGATTATCGACCTCGGTTCCAAACGCTGGAATTTGATAAGATGACTGTTGACTATACGCTCGAGATGCAAGGATGAAGAGATTGGCGAGCAATTGAAGGGTCCCTATTCCATCGATGATTTCGTGGGGAGAGCGGAAGACGATATCACGTAAATCGTCCCGTCTTTGCTTTTGTGATCGTCTGATTTGATGACAAAAAGTGCGGGAAGTTTGGGGGCAGGGGGATCCGAGTTGGCCCGTTCAATTCCAGTCCCGGAGGTAGAGATCGAGTGGAAAGTAGACTCAAGCCATGCTTGCTGGTCGCTCTCTTTCTCACAAGCCTCATACAACTTTCGAAATTTCTCGCTTGCGCCATCGTATTCGACCCAGGACGCGATGTTGGGATGATTGTATCGCAGATGTAGCCAAGCATTGCGGAGCGCCTGTTCCACACGCTGTTCAGCTTTCTCGAGTTTGATATCGTTTCCCACGTCTACTGACAACGAGATGAACCAGGTCTTGGCAAAAAACATACGGCCGCTGCCCTCATAAACCCTGGAAATGACATGGTAGAACTCTTCAGCCTCGTCGATATCGCGTTCCCAGCGGTTCCTCATGGTCTTCGCCCAGGTCAAGTTTCGATAAACTTCAGAAGCCATTTGCGCTGGTGCGTTGCTTCGCAACTTTGGTCGTTGACTTCTATCGCTTTGGAGTGATTGATAACAGTGCTGGCAAAATGGGTTTACATTAGGGAATGGATACGGCTAGGGGAACTGTGGGGCGGTAATTCTTCGGAACATAGGACTTTCTAACCACTGCACGCAACTGCTAGCCTCACAATCAGACCTCTGACCTCTCATGTAAAAGCAATCAACCCGACGTTTAACCACTTTCAGATAGTCGAGCCGCAAACCCCTTTCCATCCCGGAACGACCTTGGTACTGTAGCCGCCACCCCCAGTAAACCCCTGTAACCTGACCTTTTTGTACACAGAGTTTTGTGTGTCCAGATTGCGTGTCACAGCTTCACCAGAAGTCATGGCGGGGAAGAAGATGCAGGGATTACCTGTTGTCCAAGGGACTTCAACCCAAATTTAGAAAAGGGAGAAGTAAAGCAAGCGTGGATTGCGGTGAGTTCCGGAGTTCTCCAAAGGGCAGGGACAGCAGAAGGTCTTTCAAAATGAGAAACCACTTTTGCACAAAGCCCCGCGGTTCCGAATCATTGTTTCTTTCCTCAAATACAACTCCCAAACAGAGATTGTGTTGTTGGTGTTGACCAATTTTCACTTTTGGTAAATTTCAAACGGTCCCAGGCTGGCTTCACATCAATACTGCTGCCATGACATTCACAGAGTCGACAGCCGCTGCTATCATCCCTAACAATGTCAACACTGCTCCTCGTCCTGAGGCCTATCAAGCAACACCCGATGTCGAACTTTTATCTCTCTCAAACGTTGATTCTGCTCCAAAGAAGACAGGAAAGATAGAGTTCCGATGTACTGGCGAGTCCTCCCCTGACAATCGAGAGCGGCATGTACGACATGGACGGCTGGAACGAAGCACAATACTCAAGCTCACGAGTGCGGCATTTTCCTTCTTCTTCTCTGGCGCCAGTGATGGCTGTCTGGGGGCGTTGATTCCGTATATACTGAGGACCTATGATATTTCCATGGATGCAATTGCGATCCTGTGAGTAAAATCCTGAGCGATAATTGACTCGAATTTACGACTTTTTGTATTCAAAATCACATCAGCATTCTTTGCTAACGTAGCGTATTGCACAGCTACACTGTTACGTTCCTTGGCTGGCTTATTGCCGTAGCCTCGAACAGCCATTTACTTCAAAGGGTCGGGTTCGGCGCCATACTTGCAATTGGCGCATCATTGCAGCTTCTGGCGCATATCCTTCGCTTCTGGACACCTCCGTTTGGTTTGTTCGCCGCCACATACTTTCTCCAAGCGCTAGGAACAGCATACCAAGATTCGCATTCGAATACATTCGTCTCCTCTGTCAAAGGAGCTCATCGATGGCTGGGTTTTATTCATGCCATGTATTCGCTTGGGTGTCTCGTCTCACCGTTCGTTGCAACTGCCGTTGCTTCCCACGTCCAGTTGAAATGGGCTTACTTCTTCATTTTCCTGCTTGGACTCGGCGTGCTCAATCTCTTGGCAGTACTTTACGTCTTTTCGGACTCTCTACGTCTACTATCGAGAGAGCAGGAGCGAGAGCAGGAGGACGACGCTTCCAGCCACGGGAAAGATGCGACCCAGAAGATCAAAGAGACGCTGCAAACGAGGGGGGTATGGCTGTTGAGTATATTTTTTTTCTTTGCTCTGGGAGCTGGTCTTACGGCTTCGGGATGGATCGTGGAGTTCCTCGTCAAAGTGCGTCACGGCAATCTTGCGCAAATGGGCTATGTTCCAGCTGGACAAGCGGGTGGTGTATTTTTGGGTCGATTGCTTCTTGCAGAGCCAACGTTTCAATTTGGCGAGAGACGCATGCTCTTCTTGTATAGCGTTCTCATGCTCGCGATGCAGTTGATATTCTGGCTTGTGCCGAATCTTGTCGTCGACATTGTCGCCATTTCAATCTTTGGTTTCTTCTTTGGTCCGCTCTTCGCCGCGGTACGTCCTCCTCTTCACTGATCCCTTTGGGGGCACCCAGTAACAATCTCTCGCTAGGTATTTCTGTCGCCTCAAGGTTGTTCCCCAAACGCATCCGGCCAACGGCACTTGGACTCGGGCAGGTGTCAAAGTAATGCCGCCTATCGTTGTCGGCTTGGTGGTCGCCGTGGGTGTCACATGGTTGTTTGTGCCTCAAATCAAGCGCCGAGAGGAATAGATAAGGGATGTGAACGATAGTGAGGACCTCGACGTAAAGTATTGGCCGCACTGTGAAGTCACCCGTGCGTAAGGTTGATCCGCGATGAGGGCATGTAGGGAAGCCTGAAATGGATGTAGGGTGGCAGTGACAGTAGGTTCTGGAGCATGGAAGGAGTGAATGTGGAAGACGGAGTGTGCGCATGTGACTAGGTCCTTCTCACTGTGTCACCTTTTCCGTAACTTCACAGTGAGGATCTCACGGCCTCTGCCTTCCAGTACTTTACGCTCCTTGAGTCACCAACACGGCTGTCATTCCTAGTAGTATCTGCAACGATCCATCGTGGATTGATTCCATCAACTCATTCATACAATGGCATCCGACTCAGAATCCACCTTACCACCCCCTCTCGCCAGGTCATGGGAGAGTATCATGCCGTGGGAAATCCGGACCCAGATATTCAGCGAGTGCATCAAGAACCGCTCCGTCAGCCTCTTGTACGCCAACAAGCAGCATTATACCGCGTTCCGCCCTCTTCTCTACGAAAATTTCGTTCTCTCCTTCGTCATCGACCCATCCGCAACCGACTCCCTGGTGGACATACTCGGCCAAAACGGCCGCGTGGTCTGTGCTGCCCCCCCACACCCTGACTACGCCAGCATCGTCGAATACATGCCGACCGACCTCTTTCAGAAAATCGAGATCTTCATCGACGCACCAGATCCAGACGATCCGGGCCAACTGGTCAGGGCTTGGAAGCAGACCACGGGGTTGTTGGCGGCGTTGTTGCCCAGATGGAAAACCGCAGAGGCACCCATGACTATGACAAATATTCAAGTCCCCAGAGGTCGTCGGAGCAAGACTGCTCTTCTTCCACCCATGATCGTCCAATTCCGGGGAAAGGAGGGACAAGACAAGAAATGGACTTCCTTTCAGCCTTCTCTTGAGCGACGGGTCTGGAACCACAGCGTTCCAAGCTTTGGGTACTGGGACCCGGAGATGGAAACGACGCCGATCAAACACGGTGGGATTCATTCCGATCTTGGAATCATCATGACAGCTTTTCTCCGAGTCCGGGGTGTTGCGTCACTCAGTTTTCACTTCCCCGGTGAAGTCGATGCACCCCCGAAAGACGTCGCTTACTTGATGAGAGAAGTGGACCGACTCACTGCGGAGGAGAGGCCTTTTGGCCTGTACGGTCAACAAAACGATGACGATTACATGATTGGTATCGCAGAGGACAATTTCCACCTCTGGCTGGATTATCTTCTCGATGACATGCAAGGCCCCAGCGCCGCACTCGTCCGCAGCGACAGAGCCGAAACCTGGTGCTCTGAGTACGACTTTCTGATGAAGGAGAGACTGTACAACTGCTCACTCGGCAACATTCTGAAACATCACCTGGAGAAGCAATATACCGACCGATGTGTAGCCAGGATCCTCCTGACAGCGGCAATCCATGTCTTTTGCTCGCGAGGACTCGGTCAATACAGAGGAGAAGAACAGTCGCAGCGCATGGCGACGACAAAGCAAAGACACTGGAGCTTTTGGACCCGGCATTTTCCCCGTGGCATCGCGTGCAAGTCGGATAACGAATTGTGGCCTGTGGGTGTGTCGACGAGGACGCGGAGGAGTTGGCTCGCAGACGGCACCAACATCACTTGCACCCATTGGTCACAGCCCGTATTGGGGCGTCCCCCTGTTTACCTCTGCCCGGTCTGCGGCGACCAGGATGCTCAAGGTTTTGACGAGTACAATATTTCAGACGTGTACGAAGCGGAGCAAGATCTTTTGGTCGAGTACCTGGAAGCAAGCTCACTCATGCCGCCAAGGTTTGAGGAAATATGACTCAGACTACTCCTTCTGATGATCGGGAAGTGTTTTGGATTCCCATGACACCTTATGTCTGTAGCACTTGCCTTCCTACAGCTATCACATAGCTAGATAGATGCCTTGGGCACTTCGATAGAACTTAGACAATCCATCGCACACCAGCCTTTACAGGAAGGGTCCCAGGGAGCGAGATCTCCGGTAGCTGAGGCCCACATGTCTCATTTCCATGCAATTGCTCTCGAGGTTGTTAGTTTGACTTTGACTGCTCGGTGGACACCCTCGTGCTTTTATCGGCGACAGGAGCCCCCGAGGACTTGCACTTGTAGAAATTTAGGATTTCAACCCATTTCTGGGCGTCCTTTTGCTGAGACGCACCCACACTTTCAGAGACGCTCCCTATTCAGCACTCAGACTTTTCTACCGTCGCTTGAGCTTCAGAGATTCTACTGTTGGCACCTGCTCACAGGCTGTCTTTTTGTTTGTCCGCAGCTTCTTTCTTTCCACGAGTTTTTCTTGTCCGATCGTATACGACGCTATTACTCTTCCTAGCTCCATCAACAGCCTTATCTCTACACCTTTCCCTACAATTCTTGCACATCTACATCACCACAATGGAATCAACCGGTCACAAGATGTTCCCCGTATCTCTTCAGAGCAACGGTGTGGTTTGCCCTGAAGATGTACGCCAGTTGCAACAATTCCATTCTCATGCGGGCTTGACCGACCTCAAAGCCAGGTCGGATCCTGGGGAATTGGAAATGAAGATCTCTCCCGAGACATTGAAAGTCTGGAGACAACTCTCCCAAAAGACCCTCAGCCACCTGGCGGCAAGGCCGTTGCCGTTGGTGGCCTTTACGGAACCGACCTCACAACCTCCCAAAGAACGGCACGCCTGGCACAATTCGTCTCCACCGGCTTGGTGGACGGCCCTATCGACGCTGTTGGCGAAATGACTCCCGGATAGCTCCGTGTTGGCGGCGGTAATCAGCCCATCGATAGAGAGCTGGACCACGTTTCCCCGTATTGCGTAAATCTTTTTATTTAGGTGTTGACTCGGTTCCGGCTGCTCGATGAGCCCAGATCTCCTTAAGTTGACCGTCTGGCAGGCTTGATTGCTCTGACGCCGCGGAGACGGGCGGAAACTTGGCGAGGGCGGTGTAGAGGGGAGGACATCTTGCAAGAGAGTCAAAATGTAGTTTGTGTCCGAAGTCGGCATTATAACCAAACAAAGTGAGCCGTGTTGAGTGTTGGGTTCACGCCTGAGGAAGTGACCTCACTTGAGAGAGAAAGATACCATTGAAAAGACGTGCCTGCCAGTTTCATGTCTCTGATCCGCGTACACTAATAATAGTGCTGCTTGGCCCAGAAATGGTAAAATGTAAACATAGGGGTCCTCAGCCTTAAATGACGTTTGGTCAGACCAACTCAGTAGTGTGGCGTCATGTCTACATAGGAGCAGTATATGACTATGTAACCAGAGGCCTTCCGGACCATAAAATTCAATAGGTGCTTACTTATGCATAGCGTGTCTGGATAGCTATCTCTTGTGACCGAAGAGACCTTCGCATCCAACTCAAACAGTAATATCGTAGACTGGCGGCCACCCATCTCATCCAGCGTGGTTTTTGATACCTCAGGTATTGAAATGGGGCGAGGCTCTTAGCCAGAGGCATCAACTCGTCCGGCGGTGGGCATGGTGTTGGCGATAACGACTATCGCACAGTAACAACAAAGTAGCATCGAAGATCCTGCCCAGATAGATTCCATCGAAAGGTATTATGATAATACTAGTATTAGCGCATTATCATAAGTTATCGAAAGTATCATAATACTTCAGTAGAAGCGTTTGGGGGCCGAAACTGACAGAAGGCCGAGTAAAGGGTTGGGGCGGAAATTTGAGAGCACCTTTGCGCTAGACTATATGTAGGTAGACTAGGCAAGATATAACCACGCTAGTCTAGATACGGCACTGGTATCTATATGCCAAAGAGCATCATCATGATACCAATACTATCCAATTCATACTAGTATTGTATCAGGGCTTATCGATACAGTATCAAAACCACGCTGATATCATCAGCTACGTCACTTGGTTCTGGAGGAAGGATTCAATGCGTCGTTGGGTTCAAGCTCCCATGGCCGTCAGGAAACGAAGTAACCCCCCAGGCCGGCGATCCAGACTGAGAAGGTGGCTTCGTTTCCTGACGAGCATGGGAGCCTGAAGCTGAGAGTCTCGGTGTCGAGGAACTAGTGAAAGAAGAGGCAGAGAGGCAGAGAGGCAAGTTATTTATGATGATGGCACATCACAGGATTATTACCTAGTAAATACCATGGGGAGGGCTCGGCAGGGCCGCCAGTACTGTCCACTCATGTTTGGGTAACCACGGCGTCCAACAGCCACTCAGTGAGATATGTCTAAATTCTGCGTGGTTCCCGCCAGCTCTATTGATGGTGCGAGACGACAAATGATGAATGAGTCAGGCACTAGCCCATAATAACAGAGGAACGGAGGTTGGTTGTCACAATGGTAGGGTCTGTCATGCCCACAGAATCCCCGAAATTCTACACTATTCAGAGGAGTTAGAACGAGAGAGAGAAGAGTCTGTGACTCGAGTGACTAGAATAAAGAAGGGCGGACAGATTTCATCCTGCAGGATTCGCCAGCGCTATTTGTCACCTCCAGCTTAGACCAGCTCTTCCTGGCCCTTAGCTGCGACGACTTCGATCTGTTCCATCACCACACCTTCAGTCTTTTCCTTCTCCACAAGACCCCTGCCGTCCAGGGTCATGTGCAAAACGACCTCGTCGCCAAACAATGTCCCCATTTCCTCGACGGGGAGTCCGCGCGTTTCCGGAACGAAAAAGTAGACGACGACTTCGCAGACGATGCAAAAGGCCATGAAGATCAGATACATTCGCCAGGTTCTGCGCACAATACGTAAAAGACAAGGTTCGTCAGCGAACTGGATGCCAAATGAAATTCGTGGAGCGCAAACAGCAAGTTGATAGGTGTGTGTAGGTGGCAGATAGCAAGGGATGGGTGATTTAGGGGTCTTATCGACTTACATGTTGCGAAACGCAAGCGGACCTGGCGTGGAAAAGGTGATGAATCCGACAAAATAGGCAAACATGCTCAAGCCGATGCCCTTCGCTCGAATCGTCGTGGGGAATATCTCGGCGCACCAGACGAAAGATGGCGCATCGATGAACTGAAACAGCACAATGAAGAGGAAAATGCAGGCCACCGCGGCGCCGTTGCCTGCTTGGTTTGCCGTTCCTAGATATTCCCGTTGGAGAACAGCTTCGATCAGGAGATTGACGGCCAGGGCAGGAAAGCCGATCACTAAAAGTTGGAAAAGAAGGGTTAGGTTATCACACTGACCTCAACGATCGGGGGGAGCAACAGGGTGAAAAGCTCCAAACCTACAGAAAAGTCTCCTCCGTCCGAACTTGTCCATGGTGAAACAGGCCACAAAGGCAGCTATGGTACCAACAATAGCATAAATGGCTGGGTGCCGTAACCTCTCATTAGCCTTTGTCGATGGGATTGTGAATCATCTCCATGCGGCAAACTCACCATAAACCAGTAACGGCATGACACCTTCGAGGCCCAGCGTCCCAAAGATGCGGACCAAATAGTTTGCAATGCCATTGACCTGGGAAAGATCAGCCAGGCCGAAAACAAACACTTATCATACCGCCGGGCAACTTACACCAGTCGCTTGAGATGCAAACCTACCGCAAACCCGTCAGTTTCTTATACAGACAATGAGGAGATCATTGAATAATTTTCGGCTCACATGATAAAGAGCACGAGAAGCGAGCGTTTCCGCCAACTCGGCTTCGTGAACATGCGGACATAGCCCGATTTCTGCTCCTTGTCCTTTTCCACCTGTGCGCGGATCTGGATGAATTCCGCCTGGGCACTAGAATCTGTCGGGTCGTCGGGGTCGCGATGGAGACGTTGAATGACTTGGAGCGCCTCTTCGTGACGGCCTCTCCAGCACAGGTACCGAGGAGATTCTTTATCCTTGTGTGTCAGATACACGTTTCAGGAACAGAGACAGATACCAAAACTGACCTGGAACGAAATATATTCCGACGAGGAGTCCGAGCGGACCGACGCAGGCGAGGGCAAGCGGTAACCGCCATTGCAAGGTCGCGTTCTCTGCGTAGTAGGTTGCCACCGACACCCAGGCGACGCTAGAACATGTCAATGACGTGTACGAAGGCCAGAAGGATGCAAAGCGTACGCGACATATCCGATTCCAAACCCCATGACCGTCATGCCAGACATGAGTCCACGACAATGCGGTGGTGACACCTCCGTGAGGTATAATGGGACGAGACATATCAACATGCCGAGACCAAATCCGTGTAGGATTCTGATTGTGATGAGCATTGCCAGGTATGGAGACCCGGCAGTCCATCCGGCGCCAATCAATGAGAACAAGGCAGACACTACAAGAGCCTTTTTGCGTCCAATCCAATCAGCCAGCCAGCCTTGAAAGAGAGAACCAAAGGCAGCTCCGGCCGCAAAGAGGGCGTTGACGGCGCCCAAGACGCTGGTAGATCGGGTTGGTCAGGACCTTTTCCTTGGAGGAGGGTAGTCAAGCTCACTTTGCTGTATACTTGCTCGTCGCTGTGATATCTATTAGCATCATAGCATAACCTCGAAACCCCCTAGACACTTACGATCGAGGTTGAAGTCCTTGTAGAAGCCAGGTTGGCCGATGCTGGTGATGAACACTCCAAAGCCATACCCGTACCCAAACGTGCCAATGGCAACGATCATGCCGATGACAATGTTATACGCAGTAAGTCTCGCCATTTCGTACTGGAACAAGCGTGACAAGAAGCTTGAGGCTCGATAGCGAAGTCGTTGATTCTCTCCATGATGTGCCTTCGTTCACTTCTTCTAATACAATCTCCACACAGCAGAAGTAAGCGCACAATAACCGGACGCCGAGGCAGCTTCAGCTATGAGTTTCTCAGCTAGTTTGTTATCGAGGTCTCTAGCTTCCGAGACTGTAAGACGCAGGTATCCGAAGCTGCCCCGTGGGGAATCCAAAGTATCGTGTTGGCGTGAAAGCTAGCGTTGAGGAAGTCGAGCGGTAATAGAGCGGTCGAAGCAGAACTCTGACAGTTCACCGGGTGCTGGCGATGGGCAGGAATAACCGTTTGGTCGAGCATGTGTGCAGCCAGTGGTGATGAGGCATCCTATGGTGAACCATATTCTGACAAAATCAGGTGGCGTGAACAGGGGACCATTAGCGAGCAACGGCTCTTCCTCCTATTGGACACAGAAGCCAAGTCAGGTACATGGTGAAAACACCGTGCCAAGTTACTGGAACAGATATCCCCATTTTGCAGAGAATTCACGACCGATAGCCCAAGATTCTGGATCCCAGGTCGCGCGGCGGACCTCATGTCGAAGAATCAGGCTGGCCATCCCAAACAAGTCCCTAACAAAGTCGTCCAGATCAATCAGCCCACCAAGTAAAATCATGTTGTCTCGCAACCGAGGGAAAGGGAACCGATCAATCCAGCGTCGATGGGGTACAGCCAGCTGCAGTGGGGATGGCCGCAGGGATTCAGGAAGGGTCAGATATTCTGGCGGTGACTTTACTTCCTGGTGAGATCCTTCGCATACTGTGCCTTGCATGAGGCCATGCTGACCTAGGGCTGAATAGATGGCCCAAGCCGGCCAACAGAGGAAATAATGATCTGTGGGCACTCCATAGAGCGATTGTTGCATCAAACGAGGACTGATAACGGACAAGGTTGAATGCGAAAGCTCGAGTGCGTGTGTCCGTGGTGATGGACCGGGCACTACTTCTTTGTCGGGAGCTGTCTGGTTGATAGACTCGGTCCGTCGGAGATGACTAGTTTCCCTGTGGTGAGAGGGTGTGCTGCTATCACTGACGGCTTCGGCTTCTTTAACCACCCGTGAGAGGAGGCGATTTCCTAGTGGCCCGTCATTAGCTCCTCGTTTGAACAACTATATTCCCTCTTGCCAGTGCCCCAGAGCTTCAGTGAACAGGAACGAGAGGATCAAGAAAGCGACAACTCACGTCTCGCTCGCTGTGCCAATCTATCTTGTATCCGCTTCCTCTCCCTGGCATCCTCGACCCCGAACCAGTTATCGGCCTTCGCCTCAATTCTAGGCCTTCCTCTTTTGCGATTCTCAGCCATACGTGGGGCTGTCGAGCTTCAGCAAAGTGCTTCACCTCCAGGGTAATTCCAATAGCAAGTGTGCCGGCTTTTTGCTGAAAGCTGATTCTGAGGAGTTGCTGCTTGCTCGAGCCTTGCCAGATGATGCGGAGTGAGTCTAGTTTCTGACAAATTTTATACATCACGGAGATGCCTATTGCCGAGGGCAAAGCAGCCCCTGTAGTATAGCATGATGTTCTCTGTCAAACCCGCCGCGTCTTGCCCCGCATTGAAGGGGCATTTCCGTCAGAGCCAAGGTCGGCTATTCCTTGTCATTCTGATTCGTCGTAATAACCGGGTTGATGCAGTTGGCTAGCATTTTCGTCCCAGTCTTGTCAACAGACATCGTATTTCTAAATTCTGACAAAATCGGGGATCCGCTTCTTTGACCGCCTGGGTCTCGTATATGCTGTCCCAATACGAACACTTCGCTGAGTGCCACAATTGAAATGCCGAAGAATTTGCGCTGATGCAATTTTGGATGTGCCGATGTTGTAGGTCGACGCAGCTTGGAGCACTATTCAACGTAAGAGTGGAGAACCTCATCCTACCTCGTCAACTGGTTTCTCCATGAGAAAATCACAGGCTTCATCCCAAAAGTTATGACACAAGTCTCCGAGGTCATATTCTAGAGGCAGGAATTTCTGCGATACGCTTTTGACGTATGCCCACGAATCCTTGTCGATGGCCATGGATGAGTCTCGCAGTTTGAGAGCAAAGCTCGAAACGCGTGGACTCTGGCGTGCAGCAAGTCCGCCCACGATTGTTGCCCACAAGAGGAATTCATGGTGTGTCTGCCAATGTTGACAAAGAGCACATTCTTCCAGAGCTTGCAGGAGGAGTTTCGTCACCCTTTCGTGGAAATCACCAATGATCGGTAATGTCCAGGCGAACTCTGCCAGCTTTCGCACCTACGAGTCAGCATTGACCCTCATAACCGAGACCGGGAGGAACTCACAAAAATAATAAAAGACAGACGGGCGACTTCCAACAAACAATCTCCTTCTGATCGAAGTCGCAAGGCCTCGTGCTGTATAGCGCGACGAGCGTGGACCATGAGCATGAAGTCTGGACTTCTGCGGGAATCGCGAAGGCAGAGGGAGAATGTCTCGAGAAGGACTCGGACTTGACGAATGATGTGATGTAACCGAGGACCGCCGCGGAGAGCATCCAGAAACACAAAACCGTCTTGATAGGTCGCGAATCGAGATTCCACCACATCATCCCATGTCTCTCGTAGTGAGGCCACGAGGTATGATGCTGGATAAAAGGGGGGAAAGACCGGTTTGGTCAGGGTCCTTAAAGAATGAAAGGTGTCGACCCTAAAGTGGTAAGCTTCTTTGCCTGGAGGGGGTATATCCTTTGGGGCTCACTTACATTGATATCATGTTGCTCAGGCCGTGTAGTGTCAAATTCTTCAAGCCTCCCTTCTGATTGACGAGCGTCCTCAGAGCATGCAAATGAGCCCGTTCGAATTCCAAACTGGAATAGAATTCATTGTCTCGGTAGAGGGGAGCGGCGAACCGGGGCTGCTTCCGCGTACGGACGGAGCCATGAATTGCCAAAAGAGTTATGGTCCAGAGCACTTCGTCCGACGCAACCCCTTCGTTGTCCTGTATGGCTCGTCGAAGATGTTTCAGAGCTTGTTGTTTTGACTGAAGTTGAAGCATCTCATTGTGGGGTGTTGTGCCGTCGAAATAAGATCTGTAGCATTCGCCTGCATATATTGTCGCAAAGAGACAATGTGGAGCCAGCAGCGAAGTACGAATGGCGGTTACTCGAATCTCTGTAATCGCGGCATCGTGCGTGGCCAAGGCGAAGGCCGGCCATTGGTGGATCAAGGCTTCAACAATGTCTCAGTCACAATTCCTCCGGCGTTGACACATAGTCCCTACCGTCATCAAATATTTTCTGGACTTCGGCGGAGAGTTCCAGTTGACCAAAAAGGTTGAGTGAGCCCCAGCGGGTGGTGTCGAGCAGAGTTCTTGGTGAAGGCGGAGGCGGGGTGTTATCCTGAGTTGTAGAGGCATCGCTCGTCTGGAGGGTTGCGCTCCTCGTCATGTCCCATAAGTTGCGGGTTCTGGGGAGCTGCTCGGTGGAGCCTGGTGAGGTGGAATTCGGCTCTGATTGGTGTATATTGTGCAGTCTCTTTCGTTGTAAGCTGCGAAGTTCTCGGTTCTTTCGATGGGAAGCCAGAGCGGTATGCTGGTGCCGACGCGAAGATTGAAGCTGCCTATCGACGTCATTGGTGCGGCCATCTTCAACCCAAGGCAGGAAGATGAACTCCATGATTGAGAAAGATACAAACGGTGAAGTTGAACAGATGAGGATGAGCTGATGTTGCGGGCGAAAATTTGTAGGCGCAATGACCACGGGGTAAGCAAGTCAAAACATGATGCGGGATTTTCCGCTCTCCGCTGCGCCCCAATATAGACATGTCCACACCCACTGGTCTCTACAGAACAACGAAAATAGGCAAATGCTCGAATGATAGTGCCTGGCTTTGTATTCATGCTACCAAACAGTTGGTGTTGGCTGCCATCCCAACGCATCGGTCATCGTGTCAAGCATTCAGTTGACTTTGTTACAAGATGCCAATGCAGATATCGCCCTTGACTTTGGCAATGACCCGAATGTCCACTTCAAGGGCCAATCTCACGTGCACTTTCAAGCTTCCTCCCATATTTTCAATGTCCTTCTTGGAAAAGCCCTTGGGGATATAGTCTGGAGTGCTGTCGCCAACATCACCCTCGGCGGGCTTAGCGACCTCCCCCAGACCGCGACCTCCTGGGGCGTTGTCAAAGGTGTCATTCCTACATTGACCATGATTAGAACTAGTAGAGACTCAAGTAAAAAGCAGACAAAATGAACTTACAGATCCTTGGTTTCGCCTGACATTGTTAGTGTCTGTTTTCCTTTGCCTGGATGAGTCCCCGGTAGAGATTGCTCTGATCGAGGCGACTTGTCTGTTGGCAGTCGAGCTATCAGTGTGGCGGTATGTTGGGTTCCTTCGCGCTTTCAGTTGTACGATATCCGCTAAGTTTTGTCGGCAGGTGAAACAAGGCCTCCTGAGATTGTGAATCTGGCTTGCGACTTGTTCTTGGGTGATGAAGAGTTATCGTCAACTCTTTCTCGAGGTGGCCGAGAGGATTTCTGCTAGGAGTCGCGATCACTCGAATATCAATGAGTGCTACCGTGCTTGAAACGATTGTCCAGCGCCGTTTCCGCTTGATCCTTCCCAAGGTCAACCACAATGCTCCTTTCCCGAGAAATGGTCAAGTTAAAAGACACTTACAGTGGGGTTGAGGCTTGAATGGAGCTTGCTGACGGTGGGCGGTCAGTATTAGAGAGGCTGGAGATGGGGAATTCGGGTCGGAGGAGGCTATCGTCATCAAAGATGTCCGGGTCTTGCGGAGCAGTGTCGACAGTCGGTGATACTGGGTTGTCACGGTTCATGGCGTACCTGGTTTGAGCATTGAGCATCCAGGCACGCCTTTAGTAAGGCGATCTGTCGGAAAGCTGGACCGGTAGGGTCAAAGCAGCTCTTGCCAATTCCAGGAAGCATGATATCGTCGATGCAATGCGCCTAGGGCTTGCTGCTCAGTCGGTCCAGCGCTGGCCAGGTCTCCGATTGGCCATCTCATGCAGGAACCAAGGTTTCAAAGCTTCCAAGTCACAATGGACGGACTCCACCACCACCATGGAGATGTGAACTGGTGCATGGGTCGCAGGGAGGAACGAGAAAGAAGCAAGGAAGATGCCGGAAATGCGCAGTGATGCGCCTTGTAACAGGCGCAGGCAAATGCCACCAACGCATCCAACACACAAATTACGTCACAATGAAGTGAGCCTTCACCAGCCATTGACCACAAATACAAGATACTCAACTTCATCTCCACCACAAGGCTGCAGCTCAAAAGCCACTTGTACGAGTAGGATCCTCAGCTCGTCAGGTGCCTCATGCAGAATGCCACCTTGACGGGATTGACAGTCAAATCCTCCTCTTTCGGGTCGCCAACATACTGCCGATCAAAGCGGTGCATCACCCGCCTCTAGATTCACCATCCCCCAGCTACCACTACTTAGTCCCATCTCCATCGCATTTCACCCCTGGCTTGCATTTCTGCACTGACAAACAATGGTGCTCTCGTTAGTTACTTTGGCGGCCACGGTGCCTCTGATCGCCACATCAACCATACAGCTTCAGGAACAGAGTCAACGGAAACAAGAGGAGAGCGAGCTCGAGCTCAAGAGAGAGAAATGCCACCTCACTGGCAGGGCGACAAAACGAATGAGTGCCAAGCGTCGAGGGCAGTTCCAGGACATGAGGGTGGTGTTGGATGACGGAAGCCTGTTCCTGGAGCCCAAGGCGGTCTCGCAAAAGCATGCCTTCACTGGCTACTTCCTTCCATACCCAGACAGATCCTACGACGGCATCGTCACCACCATCAATGCCGAAAACATGCTCAACTGGATCTTCATCAACAAGGACACCTACCGGTTGCAGTATGGCATCCGCGCAGAAGCCCAACCACAATGGACCGGCCCAATGACCCTGGTACCCGGTCAAGCGTTGGAAGAATGGAGGATAGCATTCAATGGCTGGGAAGGTTTCGTGGCGGTCCAGGAGGGCGACGAAAGATGGGCCATCTATTTCGACAAGAATGACAATGGTTTGGCGGGGAAAGTTGAGGGAAATGCCGTGGTGGAAATTGAATTGGTCCGGGCGCCACTGGAACAAGAAACGAGGAGTGATGAAGAGCCGGACTGAACTACATTCCCATGGTGGAGCCCACAAGCGACTCTGGCGTAGAACTGATGGCCAAAATGAGCCACGAGCAGCCTGATTTGGATTTTCTCTTCTCCTCTTGCCTCACTTTTGCCGGAACGTAGCGCATATTTGGGCGAGTCCGGTTGTCCTAGGCGAGTACCTTGCGAGCTTGGTAGGGCTTGCAGATCCAAGTCGATCTCCGCTCTGGAGTGGGTATCGAGTCGGGGCGCTTCAGGGCTTCCGAAGCCACCTGCGAGCCGATCCTTCAGCGCTGTGGACGACTAAGCCACCCGTTGTCGACAAAGCAGTCGGTCAGAACAAGGCGAAATCAGAGCTTCAAGTGACTGGCATACTCAATCACACGTCCGGAGAGTCTAGACCTTCTTGTTCTACACCGGCAAGCGTATGTTGGAGGCCCTGCGACCTTTGGGCCTCAACAAGCCATTTGGCATGTGAAGGGTCGTATCGATAAGAAATACGTGGTCAGGACTTTAAGCCAAGTGAGCTGTTCAGGTGAAACGGAAGGGTCCGTTAACATCTGCAGGGCGCTGCGAATCAGACGGAGACAACTGAGTGCGATGACGTCTTCAGAAGTTGTAAATTCTGCGTATAGAATCCCAAGTGGCCATCGTATCCTAGCACCATTTCGAACCACCTGCCACCTAGTGTTCCGTAGGTGGTTGGTTCGTGCCATGAGGCTTGCCAAACCAATTCTCTTGCTTCCTCTGACCTGTTTGTTGTCTGGGTGGATCTGCTCCGTGTACACCCTGTTCCTCGACTAGTTGTCATATTGTTGTCAGGCAGCACTTGCGATGAGGCAATGTTGAGAATAATATGTTCTACTCGTCCACCGATACATCACAAGAAGAGGTCGAAGACACTCGTAGTAATGGGCTAAACGCTAGAATGGGCCAGTCCGCATCGCGACCGAAAAAGCAGCCAGCAGCTCCCGCGCCGGAGGAGGAACAAGAAGGATGGGGTCTCTTCCACTCTGGTCAAGCGACGTCTGTTCCTGAAGGGACGGATTCACAGCAGATGCACGAGGAAAACTTACCTTCCGCCGACACTGCTTCGAGAAACACAGAGGATATCTCGGGGGAAGATGAGACCCAGCAAGATCCTGCAGCGCGAGGCGACGGAGCCTCTACTCATGAAGATGAACATCAGAAACAATCCCCAGCGTCGCACGTAACCGACCCAGCACATGACGAACAGGATGACAGAAGCGACGGGCGTGATGACGAACCAAATCGACCCGTTGAGATGAGTGCGAATGGGCAGAATCCTGATCCCGACCCCATCAGTTCTGGGGAAGAGACAGCAGATACCCAGACACCAGAGCCACATGAGAACATGGCCGAGCGAGAGACCAGTAACCAAGGCAAAGACCAGACAAAAGAACCCAAAATAACGGAAAGTGTCCCAAAGCCTACCTTGCAAGCCAACGTCGGAGCACATACGGCGACCAACTCCGCCGACCGCGCGCCGTATACCTGGTTTGACATGGTCATTGATCTCGATGATCCCAAACCTCTTGGACCGGCAGGATATTTCTGTGGGCCTTCAACGATGCCCGAATTGCCGCCCTTGGGACCCAAAACCAGTATCCATGTGCTATAACTGACGGGCGACATGGCGAAGCATGCTTCGCTCTCGGCTTCCGCAGACTTGTTCCACAACGATAATTGTTCGAGGTAGACACCCCCCAAACAGGTTTTGTCACTGTCAGACGAATGCTGCGTCGTAAAAACGGGATCTAGAGGCGAGGTGCTGGGTTGAAGATTGTGGAAATTCTCATTCACGCTATCCCAAGGTCGTTCGCCGTACCTTTGGCCATTCAGAGGCGATCGAGTCCCTCAGCTTTCGGGCGGGCATCAATCCTGAAGGACGGAGGACGTTCCAGACTCTCTGCGTCGCTAAAATCATTAAACTGGCGGTCACGCAACCTCACTGTTGTCTTGTCCAGCCCTTTCCCACTCCATGAGTCGACCGGTTGCTGGAACTTATTCCACCAACCCATCCTAAACATCTCACTCTGCCAGATACCCTTCTTCTCCCATTCCTCATCCGACCAGTATTCTGAACCCGGGGGAACCATGCCAGATTTCGGGTCCACGATACGGGAACCTGCCAGCAAGCTTGCCACGGCGGCGATGCTCCCAATAGGTTTAGGCAGAACATTTCGCATGTCATTCGTAATGAACACCACAAGCGCACATATCAACAATACACCCACCACACCTACTAACAAGTGGGTGGACAGGGGTGACTGCACGAGACGAAAATGACGAGGATTGACATATGCTGCCTGCAGAGGATTGACCACAGTTTCGGTCTCATTGTTGGACAGCGTAGAGAAATCTGCACGGAGGAAGGTGTTGACAACTTGGGCCATGTACTGGCGGTACAAGTGCGTGTACGATGCAATCAGCTTGCTCCCATCCAACAGCTCACTCGTCGGGGTTCCATCCTTGCCATAAACCATGGCATTAAACGTCTCGTCAAGCTCGTCAGCGGTCGATGTGATATTTAAAACCTGCAGGGTAGGAAACCCAGTATAATAGTCGGAAAACTTGAGTGCCGAGCCAGGATGCACCACCGGATCAGAGGAAATTGAGAAGTCCGGCAGATTGAAGGTCGCATTGACCTGGACCCGCTCCAGATATTGCGTGCACAGGACCGGGATGAAGTCATCGATTTGGTTGTCTGTGACGTGGCCGTAATATAAGGCAAGCGTAGGGCAGGTATCAAGAAATCCTAACACCAACGTCGAACCAAAGTATCCGGACGTGTTTACTGGGACTTGCATGGAGGAGGAGAGCCAAATATATGCAGAGTCGATTGAGCCTGTGTTCCCGCAGCCATCCGGTGTGCTGATGTTGGAAGAGAGGAAACCGCTACTAAGCGTAGTATTCACGATTCGGTCCTGAGGAACAATGTTGCAGGTCGTTGCTCCACGGATCGCTGGTGTGTCCACAGATATGGTTCCGCTTTGGCCAAGCAGATTGTTTGCATTGTCGCCTTTGAGGCGGAGTTGGGGCATGGCAACTTCAGAGTACGTCCACTGGGGGTATGACATGTTACCTTCGATGACGAGGAGTGGGACATTCGTGGAAGTGATCGCTAATGTGGTGGTATTAAACCAGTCCAGAGCATCAACCTGGACCGAAATGTCTTGACTGGTTGCCTTGGTGGTGAATAGGCCCGACACGATGATGGTGAGCAGAGGAGCAAGAACAGCCGATACAGATGCTGCAGTCAAGGCAAAGCGGCTGTGCCGGAGACCATTATAAGTGGCGTGGAGAGATATGTGTCTCAGCGGGTACCAAAGCATTGAAGAGCTGGCTTCGCAGTCGGCTTTTGCTAGGGCGTGGAACGACTCGGTGAATTCGATCTCGAAGTCCATTATGTTGAAGAGAGTCGCTAACAGAAGAAATACCAAGACTGGGACATACAACCAGGAGTATCTGGTCGCGCTGTCGTCGCTGACGTTGCCGAGACCGTTATGCGCTTGTGATTGCGACAAAAGGACTTCCAATGTGATGATGGCGGCGATGGAAGCTAAGATAGTCGATGTCATGCCAATTCTGCGCAGGATGAAAGGTCGGGTCCATTTGATGTCCAGAGGAGCCGAGTCGCCGCGGTCTGGTGGTGATCCATGTAGTCCTGATTCGGCTCCGGTGACCATTTGAATGGAGAAGGTTCGGGCACCATCTTCATATCCCGTGGCAGTCATGAACCTGTGTGGAGCGAGGATCTCGCGAAGCTCACCCAAGCTTCGGTGACCAGTACCTCGAAGACGAGCCTCCAGTGCCGGGCTGCGCGCAAGAATTGCGGCAACCGCAGCAATCGAGTCGACACTCCTTGGTACCACGCCCCTTGGGCGGACACATAAGATGAGAACAATGAGCAAGACCATCAGTGCAGCGACAGCTTGCATGACTCTGATTGGGATCTGTCTCGCGATCAGACGGCTCTCGTCCTTCGAAATTGTTCCCTCTACAATCGGCTTCGTATCTTGAGCTGCATCAGAAAGCAGATAAAGATTGGCGACTTGTGCTGCGATTTTCCCATATATCCTATTAGCAGTTGTATTGAGGTAAGAAGGCTCGAGGAGATCTTCGACCTTGAAGTTGACTGTATCTTGTTGCATCATAGTCGTGAAGACATCCAAGGTGACGTTATCCGACGTCGAAGTGGAAATTGTACTGGCTTGCTGCGTCGTTGCCAGAACTCCGTCAGCAATGTCAACAGCGCTGAGACCATTGAGTCCACGTCCATTTCCTGTCATATTGACGGAATGGACGTTCCCCTGAGGGTCAAGTGTGACTAGGGCCGACTGGATTGAGTAGGAGGGAATGCAGACGATGTTGGATGAGTCTAGTAAAGTATGATTGTTCTGGCTGAAGCCTTCCGAATATGTCGCCGCGATCATGAACCGGAACCTTGTAGGATCGTCCGGTGGAAGATTGGAGCATGTTACATTCTGAATTGATGCTCGGTAGCCAAATCGATGGGCAGTGTCGTTTTGCAAATAATACCAATCTGGGGCATCAAGGTATGCATTGAATATCTGGCAGTCTGGAAGTGTCACCGATGTGTTGTAGTACATTGATATCGGTGCATTACTACGTCTGTCCGCAGCAACGGTGTATTTGAGTATTCCAGATTCGCAGCTGAGATTGGCGCTGAAAGCGTCAACATCAGCAGAATATGTTAGACTGCCGTTGACAAATCCGTCTCTGGGAGCAAAACTCTGAACAGCATGTTGGTCTGTTGTACCGACAGGCAGGCTGATATTGTAGGCCTTGTGGCCGTAGGCTACAAACGCAGCCCTCGAGTCGACGGATGCTGCGTGATCAAAGTCTGTACCAACAAAGGTATTGTTGAGAGCCATTGAGGTTGGGACATCGTTTCTCTGGACTGACTGGAGACTGAACATCCCAGTGCTTAAGACAGTGATAACTTTGATCAGCACGAAGACAATAATGCTAGAGGAGACGGCGAAGTGACCGCGTCGTAGAGATCTCCAGAGCGACGAGAGCTGGAGCGGCGTGACATAATCAAGGAGAAGACTGTTCTCTGCTCGCTGAGGGCCTTTTGCCATTTCTGCCCAGGGTTGAATAGATTTTGCGGCGTAATCGACTTGACGCCAGAGGACCGTAACAACCACAAATACAGCGGTTGGACCGTAAGTCCACAAATAATGATTTTCATCACTGCTCGTCGCAATTCCATAATTGTTCTGCGAAACCGTGTACACCACTTGCAAAGCAACAATGACGGCCACGAAAAAGAGGGCAAAAGCGATCAGAATCCAAGGTCTCAAGAAGAACGGATTCCAGTGTGTATTTAGCCGATGGCGCGATTCTTCGGGTTTTGATATGTCTGTAGGAACGAGCAACGCCGAACCCGGAGAGTGCTCACCTTGTATCCAGTTCGATCCATTTCGAGAGTTTTCAAGTTCAATGTCGGGGACAGAGCCGTGGGGAGGCTTCGGACTGCCGAAAATAAGGCGCGAATAGCCTCGTGGTCGAAATGTATCCATCACGACAATGGAGATAGATCTGATAATGCCATGGACTGTTCAGACAGTAAAGGGCTGTCCAGAGGTGGATGGTATCGAAGAACTCTTGGAGGGAATGGTGGTTTGAGAGAGCAAGGAGGGAGGCTCAACAGAGACCTGGTAGAGGCCATAGTGGCGCTCGTGTGTTGTGTGTGTGGTTGTGACCAAATGCCTCACTGGCAGGTCAAGGCCACCGGGAGAGTAGTACAACTGTTCGGGCATGTCCAGGGCTGATCGATTTATTTTTGGCCCCTTGAAACCCAAACTTTGGGCGCCGTTCATGTCGCATGAGGGTCGGTTTGCGAAAGCGTAAACCTTGAAGAACTCAGGGTGGCATCGAAAAAAGGAAATCCTGTCTGACAGACGTGATTGCACTGTCTGACACACTACACTGGCGAAATATGCCACGCATACTCGTTAAGCCTTTCAGTCTGACACTTATTTTACCCCTTGGCGTTCTCATTTCCGTCCCACACTACCGAGTACGCGGTAAAAGTTCTCGCATGCTTGGTTGGCTGTTGGTTACTGGTTGCACCAAATTACCTGTCGTGACCCCATTCATCGCACACATTCTCTTTTACCGTACCAAGTGCTACGTCGTTGTCTGTCGAAAGTTCTATTGTGTTGCAGTGGCGGTGTCAGAGTGGGAGAGCGACGGCATGATTCCAAAATTCTTTTAATTGATGGTGGTTCTGTCATCCCGTTGAATTCCTCACTAGCATCTTCAAAGAGTGGGGGTTTGCGTTTGACTGACATATGTACAAGTACGACTATGATTAGGCCCTCGCGCCCCTGTGGGTGCCTGGTGCCAGCTATCAACCATACCGAGATTGTCCCCTAACGCCCTGACCTCCTCAAATTTCTCCCCGGCGGCCAGTTATATCGCTTCCGCGAAGCCACCGCTCAACATAGCGTATCTGTCTCAGGGCCAACATACCCACCCCTGTGCGAGAGGATCTGCAGGAGAACAGAGCACATACCCACAGTATCTAGGTATATGCGTGTGGTCTGACGGCCCTGTGAGGGACCGTGAGCCCTTCTGCCCCTGAACGGCCTCTGTCCTCCAACCTCGCCTGTTCCGCAAGTGGATTGGTTTGATTAGGAGAATTGATTCGCCTTCGGGTGATGCCAAAATGCAGGTACAAATTGCCATTTCCTACTACCTCAAGCCAACATCGGAGGAACCATCTTAAGACTGGCCATCTCAGTCAGCACCTGCTTGATAGCTTCTTTTGTACACACGAAGCCATGCCAACCCAACTGGCGATTGCGGTCCATGCTGATGACTCGACCCCATCCTCCAAGAAGCTCCCCGTTGATGAGGCCAAAAGCATCCATAGCCCTGTCACCAAAGGGGTTATACTTGAGCCCATGCTTCGATTTCAATACCTCCCAAGCTGCCAATACCTCAGGCTTTTTGCTCCACTCAAGAAAACTGAATGAAGCTTTCACAATACCAGGTCCGCCGAATCCACGAGGTGGGACAGGGTAAGGCATGGTAATGGTTGTGTATGCATCGGCATCGCTTGCTGGCCCACTTGCGGTTGTCTGGTACCAATCGGCAAGCGTTGGCCAAAACTTTCCCCAGGCGAAGGCACTATCGTCACACTGGTTGAGTGCTAGATTACCAGCCTGGGAAGTCAAAAGCGCCCATTCAGCGTGGTATGCTATCAAGGTGGACATCGACTGATGCTTGACAACATCCCACGCTGCGACATCCCCTGGAAATAGCAGCGGAAGTCCTAGATGAGCCTGAATGGCGGCGTAAACCGACAGAGGCCACAGTATATTCATGGCTGCGCTCTCAACAGCACCAAGAATAAAGCATGGTCGAGTAACCACGCAGCTGGTGTTGTTCTTCTCGCAAAATTTATCGAGGAGATCTTCCTAGGGAAAATAGAAGTTTCCCTGGATTCCATGCCGAGGATCTTCTTCTCCCATGGGGATGGCTGTTGGTCCAAGATGCACGCCATAGTATTTCGCACCTGTCTGGAGCAAAATACGCTTTGGGAATATGTTTGCCAACGGTAAGGCACTGAGGAAGTTAGACAACAGAGCCATATTCTGCTTGGTTGTTTCTTCGATGTCGCTCCACAAGCTCTGGCCTTGAAGAGGAGGTGGTTGGATATATGACGCGAAGTACACATAATCCCTGCCTGTCAGTCAGCTAGATCAAGGTTGGGATGGAAGACCTTACGCTTCAACTCGCTTGTCCTTTAGGACCTGAGCAATTCCTTCCAGAGTGCTCTCAAGAAATCTACTGCGATATGCTCGACACGAGGTGGTGTTTGACCCGTTGGAGGGCGGCGTGACAGAGCATAGATCTTCTCCCATCTCTCAGGAGCTTCACTCAACAACTTGGTCATTGCCGAACCAGAGATGCCATTCGCCCCCGTCACGATTATCCGCAATCTCTTTCCTTCAAGCTCTGGAAAGGTCGGGAGGCCATGAAAGATTCCTTTCGAGACGACTGTTTGCGACATTTTCAATACACTGAAATGCTCTCATGAAATTGAAGGGGAATGAGGCGAAGGGGCGTGGTGACAGAGACCAGCTCTCTTATACCCAATGTGTCTCTCGAAGGCCGACCTATATTCCAGCAATTGCAGCAACACGTCTGCTTGCATGATGCTGTAAGCAGGGTACCATTAGACGCCACATTCCTGAGATTTAGGATGAACGCTGTGAGCAAACCATGGTTCGACGTAAAGTATCACAACGCATCCTGCTCATTCGCGACTTCTACCGATCTCTCATAGAGGAAATAACAATATTCAGTCACGTGGTCGCTTTTGACGCCTATCCACTTATTACTACTTGCAACTTCCACGATGCCTACGGACGTTCTGGTTGACTGGCTGGAAGTAGCTGCCATTACTAAGCACTTCTTTGACGATAACTACGCTGTCTGGAGAAGGATATTGGTGGGGCCACTGGTGCCCGTACTGACTTAATAAAGCAACAGCCTGATCAAGTAGTCGTTGCGGATACACGTGCCGAAAGAGAGTATTTCGTTGCGTGGAGTAAGCAATTGGCACGGGTTCACGTTGGTCACCAGGGCTTCCAAATGGTCACAGAGACGCTCCTTTCACAACGCTCTTGGAAATTACCAATATCGATGTCTTCGTTCAAAGTCTGCTCTGCCGACAGAGTTACGCCTATGACTGATACACCAGTGTTTGCCATATATATCGCCTACTCATTCGAAGCGAAGGCAGCGAACTGTCGGTTGCAGGCGGACTCGGTAAGAGATTGACTGATTACTAGTACATCAATTTTCTCCGTCGTAGGAGACTTTGAGCTGATGCGCAGGTGTGCTCGTTCCGTGAGCACCGAACGACTCTTGACAAGACTAAGGTCTGTAAGAGTTCGAGGCCCAGGAGCGGCATTCGCAGGTAAGTCACATAGCAGAAAATGACTTGAGGACAAACGGTGGCCATGCCGCAAATATACAGCGATACCGCCTCCTAACCATGTCATTCAGTGACGACAAAATCTCTATTTACTCGTAGATCGGACGAAGGGCAGGAGCGATAGGAGTTTATCCCCTAAGCGGCTATCTGGGGATATTCGCCTCCGCGTCCAGTAACGTCACGAATGTCAAAAAGATATCAGAAGCTGCATCCAATCAAACAGAGATCGCCAACACGAGCAATCAAAATCAAAGGCTTGATCTCGCCTCGGATGCCATGAACTGCACAATGGCTGTCAAAGATCCTAATGAAGGACAGCTTATGTTTTGTTGCTATTCGTGCGCGCAGACCAGCAGGAAGAATGAGTATCGGAAACCCAATAGAGGTTGTCCTCCTGCGGCAGCTCAATTGGGTCCCCAACCTTAGCATTTCCCTTGCTTGACTATTAGTCCGAGATAACGCTTCTGAAAAGCACATGTCGGACTTGTCCTCAAAGTGGGGCGTTGCCATATGTGGCATGGACATCACCAACACGGAGCTTCGTCCGCTTGACTTGAAGGGCGCGGAGCAATCTGAGCCTCAGCTATCGTTGGTGTCACACAGGTATTTAAGCCATGAAAACACTTGCGATAAGACTGTCAAACAGGGGACGAAACCTTTACAAGAATTGCAAACATCGGACTGTCTTGTCGTAGGACTCGGAGACCATACCATGGCGAATCGCGGACGGACGCTGGACCCTGAAGTCTTCTCGATCAACGATCTGAAAGACAAGGCGTCCAAAAACCTCCCCAAGATGTATCGAGGTTAGACAACGCTTGCACCCAGCTATATCCATGCCAATAACGCAGACAGAGTACTTTAACGAGGGCGCCATGGACATGATAACGTGAGTTTATGGGTCTGATCTCCAATCGACGGAGAAATCGGTCAAAATAGCCAACGTCTCTGTTTCGGCAGTCTTCGAGACAATGAAGCCGCCTTTGACAGGTATCGGATACGACCTCGTATTCTGCGCAATGTGTCCACAATCGACACGAGTACCACAATATGGGGAAGTAAAGTGCTATTCCCGTTCGGGTTCTCCCCCGCGGCTATGCATCGACTTGCTCATCCAGAAGGCGAAGTGGGTACTTCAAGGGCCTGTGCAGCTCTGAACGTGGCGATGGGACTCAGCGCCTACTCGACTGACTCGCTGGAAGACGTTATCAAGCAGAGTGAGGGAAGGACAAACCCGTATGCTATGCAGGTCAGTCTTCTGAAGAGTCAAGAGTTGACCGTACGACTATTGAAGAGGGCCGAGCGTATGTGGCAGACAACTTTGTTCCGTTTTCCCAACTGCATGGCTGGCGTAACTGACAATCTCCACAGAAGCAGGCTATAAGGCTATCCTTCTGACAGTTGATGCGCCAATGCTGGGACGACGATTGAATGAGTTCCGCAACTCCTTCTCTATGCCGAAAGGCACCTCATATCCCAACATTGCTCCAGGCCTCGACATGAGCAACTTAGAGGGAGGAGACAATGAATTGGCCTATGGTGGGTGTCCTGCTGTACTCTGTCAGTGCAAGCGTCCTAACGACCCTTGAAGAAAACGGTGTGAACTGGGACGAAGCCATCTCATTCGTCAAACGTCACACAACCCTGGAGCTGTGGATAAAAGGAAGTAGGTCGAATCTCCAGACAAGAAAACTGTGAGGCTGATCTATCTCTTTCAGTATACACCGCGGAAGACGTGGCCACTGCTATCCATTACGGGTTGGACGGTGTGGTCATCTCCAACCACGGCGGACGACAACTGGACAGTGTCCCTGCGACCTTGGACGCTCTTCGAGAATGCGCCCCCGTTGCAAAGGGCAAGCTCAAGATTGCCATCGACGGCGGGATTCGACGTGGGACCGACATTTTCAAAGCCTTGGCTTTGGGCGCCGATTTCTGCTTTGCCGGACGAATCCCAATCTGGGGATTGGCAGTGAGTATCCGTCTTGTCTGCAATCCCCTCGAACTCACGCCATTATATTAGTACAACGGCCAAAAAGGGGTAGAGCTGGCCATCCAGCTCCTGTACGATGAATTCAAACTCACAATGGGTTTGGCTGGGTAAGTGAATCTGTCAGAATGACCTCTAATTGATGGTGTACCTGAGATTCTGATTTTACATACAGGTGCAAGACGATCTCGGAGATCAATCGCGGACACCTCTCAATTTTAGAGAGCAATGGTGTTCTATCGAAGCTTTGATGTTGGAGACTCATGGGCTGCTGCGCAAGAACATAGTCTGGGGTAATGGACAACTGCACAGAGGATAGGAAAGGGGACCTAAAGCAGGCGATGTACTGAGATATATACTTGGTATATGTAGGCAGATGTTTGCTTCTACAGTGGAGAGAACGGATATGGAGGGTCAACCACTGTCAAGTCTCGAGAAAGCGAGTCTCTGGTGATTCTGAACAATTTCAATCAACAAATTTCTCACCTCTAGTGATCAACCCCACGATGGTCTCTGTCGTGCTTACAAGGCCCGCAAGGCTGATAGTCTCGGTGACGGGATTAAATTCTTCCGAAGCCCCTCAGTGGCTGCGCCCAGACCTCAAATCCTAATCTCGACGTTACAATCGAGTAGGCCAGGCAGGTCATCTCCCCAGTATAAGAGTCGCAGCATTGTATTGAGCCAGGTGTTGTCAGGCTTTCGCTATATCAGCTTTTGAACTCCATCTCACCCACACACCGACTGTTCGAACCATGGCTGTGCGAACGGAACCTGCACGCCCGAACATCTTCAACTGTGATCATGCTCTTGCCTTTGAGCATGGAATCATGCCGGCTTACGTTCAGAGTGAGGGGAAAAATCCACAGAAGATGATGTGCGATCACAATGTGTAGCATGCTGGATTTCTTGAGGGTATGACCTGTCCGAGCAGTTGCTGTTCATGGGGACTTCTTTTGATGGCTTGGCTGCTTGGGCAGACATGGCTTCCGCGATTGTCTCCCTTTTGTCGCACTTTCCCGGATCTGAGAGGCCAACATCTGTTTTGCAGTCGGAATGGAGCTGCTACGCTCTCGTCGCTTCCGGGTACGCCTGGGTCGGAGTCAGCAAGAGGCCCTATCTCTGTGTTCTCCTCCTCTTTCTCTCGACGTTTCTTCATCCCTGCCGAACATTGGACTTCGAGGCCGTTGACGTGCAGCACTTGGATTGATTGGTACCCTTTGGACGACGACGTTGCTCATAACCATCCAGCTACCACAAGGACTCCTTTTGGTGCCTTGAAAAGTTCTTCGCTTGATCTCGTCGAGGATACGCTGCTGGTGAGACAATACTGTTGCGACAACTCCTCCCATCCTTTCTCGCATCTTGTCTTCAAACCGCCAAAATCATCTTGT